TTACGGTAAAAGGAAAACATTTGCATTTTTTTTTAAAAGCTTTATATATACCACTCTGATTAAAAAAAAACACAAATTGCAAATCTTCCTTTCAACTTTTTTTTGTATCTCTCTTTATTTTTTTCCTCTTCTATATAATCATTGTTTTATGTGTTTTTATTAAATTTAAGTGCTAATCTTCATATACAAAAATGGAGATTAGATTCTGGAGTATGAAATCAACATCAAAGGTATGTATTTATAATTATTTATTTTATAATTTAGCAATTTTGTTTATCATAAAGTTTAAATGTATAGTTAGAAATTTGGTGATAGATTGGGGGATATTTGATCATTTTCTATATTTTTAATAAAGGATAAAAATTATTATTTTCTTTGATATATTAGAAGAGAGAGTTTGAAACAGTTTCATCATGTCAGCTTGGTGACATTAGATGGAAGTGTGGGTATAACTAGCTTGGTGACATTAGATGAAAGTGTAAGGGTATAATAGTATTTTCCTAGATCAATTTGCTTTAAAGGAATTGTCTTTTCTGCTTTATTCTTTACACCACATCAACAGGTCCATAAAAGATCCATCATTTTCTGTAAAATTACAATGGATGCCATGCGCTCAAATATCTTAAATGTGATTGGGACCCATTGACCTACACTTGTGAGTTGTGTCAGTCAGTGTTCCCTCAGCTTTTGCCTTATTTATTTTTCTAATAAAACACTTTAGCCATTTTATTTATGAAATGTCCATTGATGAGTTTGGAATTGGTTCTAAATAAAAAAATAAATTAAAATGAAGTATTATTAATTCAGATTGAAAATGCATATATTAAATAATATTTTTCTGAAGTATTATATTACATTTAAAAAGTTACGAATATTAAAAATTTAATAAATGATCTTATATGATTTATGATATGTTAAATACAAATATTGTATGATAAAATAAATAAAAAAATATCAAAAGTAAAATAGAGAGTACGAATAGTAATTCTTCAATCATCTCTACAAATGATGAATAGAGAATTAATTAAGAAAACATTCGTTATTTTACTCTCCAAATATAGAGAAATATAGAGTAAAATAAAGGTGGATCGGAGATAATTTTATAGGTTTTTTGTTTCCAAGATATTCATAATTGATAAATATGATCTTTAAAATCCATTATGATTAAATATAAATAATAAATTTTAGAAAAAATAAAAAAATATCATATAAAATAAAATGAAAAAGTCGATAGACTCCTTATGCTTTGGAAATAATTTATTGTGATTGAAAAATATCCTCTTCTACTATATTATAATTTTAAATAATTGAGATTTATTGATTAGAATATCAATAGTATATAGAATTTATAAAAATAAATTATGCATAATTTTATCCTAATATTTTGTATATAAATATAATGTTGGGCCCTGACACGGACCATTTTTACTAGTAATAAGAATATAAAATGGATGATGTCTTGCAAAGTGCTATTTTCATCTTTTCATTTTTATCAATGTTTTTCTTATCATTTTTTTCATTCTACCACATAAAAATTCTCGACATATATTTAAATTTAAGATAATAATTGACATTATTGCTTTTAAAATTTTAAATTAAAATTGACTTGAAATGAACTGACATGTATATTTTCACGCTTCTCTCATAATATTGTTGGTAGTGCTTATAACTTCTCAAGTTTAATTTATTAATAGTAAAAATAATATATTAATTATTTATATAAATTAGTTAACCATTTTAAAATTAAATCTTTATAGTATCAATTTTTTTAAAAGTTATACGTATAGCTGAAGAATAAAACATATACCTATTTTAAAAAAAGACTAAACAAATAAAAAATTTCACAAAATGAAAGAAGAGAGTAATAGTAAATTAAAAATATTTTATAATTTAATAAAGATAAATGCTCATAGATTAGTTAGCGGAGAATTTTAAGGAGTGGTTTTAGTGCCCCATAATAATTTCAAATTTAAAAATAAATATTAAATATGAAATTTTTAATTTCAAATTTTTAGTTGTGAAGTGAGGATAGTTATTAGTTTTAAAATTCAAAAAAAAATAATCATGCATCATGTTAATTAAAAGAATTTAAAGGAGTGGTTTTAATGGGTACTTATTAGTTTAAAATTTAAAAATACAACATATTTATTTATAACAAAAAATGCAGATAATAATAATAATAATCTATCTATATATCTTCTATCTATATATAATATGAGAAGAAAAATGCACTTATCAGTGCCACAAATTTTTAGAATTTTAAATAATATATAATTAAATATTATATAACTAATTAAATATTAAATATAAATATTATAAATTAAAATTTGAAATGAAAATAGAGATATGTCATCAACTTACACAAATAATGACAACTCATAAATAAAAGGTTTAAAATTTAGTTTCAGGATAAATATATAAAGATAATGCTAAAAAAACTGTGTTTTTTTTAATAATTAAAATTATTTTAAAAATGATTGTAAATCGTTTAAAAATTATTTTAAAAATCTTTTCACAACTTCTAAATTTAATATTTTAAAAACCACCATACGAATTCATTATTATTTTAAATAAATAGATTGCTGCATTTATATATAAAATGTTTAATATATTTCAAACATGATAAGAAGAATAATTCATTTATATATAAAATAGTTTATTAGAAAAACTAATAAAAACATCTGTAAAGCGGTAGTCTATATATCTATACATCTATATTTCATTGTTAACTTTTAAAATTGCCAAAAAATAAAATAAAAAAGTTAAAAATTGCAAAAAAAAAAAAAAGTTGCGTAAAAATGCAAACACTAAAAATAGAAATTGCAAACACTATAAAAACATTGCAAAATCTTACGCTTACAAAAATTGCAATTTCAAAACTGAATTAATCTTTATTTAGAAAAAAAATATATTTATCCAATTAAATAGGGAGTTTTAAAACTTTTTTTCCATATTAATTTTGAATATTAAATTTTAAGCAACCAATTGTATAAATAAGTTAAGGATAAGTCCTAATTAAAAATAACTGGTCACTTTAAAATTTCATTAACTTTAAACTTTTGGATTAAGATAAATAATATTTATCTATATCTCGCAAGTGTTAAATTCTATCTTGAACAATATAACAATTATAAGTTATTTAGCAAATTTAAGAATTCACAATATTATATAATAATAACATTAAATTAAGTTGAAAATTGCAATTCTAAATTATATGGTACAATTTTTAATTTTCAATTAAAAAAAAAATTGAATACAAGAAAACTATTATTACACATAGTATATTTAAGCGGATAAATTCAAATCAACAACCTCTCATTCATATCCATATGTTTTCTGATACAATTCAAATTTAAATTTTAAAATATTCAATACAAACTTTGAATAAATCTAATATAGCGGTTGTATTAACTAAAATTATTGTTACCTTTAAATCAATTTTATATTATATTTTTACACAAATTTAATACGGAAAAAATGTTTTGAAAATATTTTGATTTTAACTAAAACATATATAGAAAATGTATTAACATACCATTTAATTTCATGATATAAAATATTTTATATGGAATGTTAGAACTCATAAATTATGAACATAATTTTTTTTATTCAAACAATATAAAAAGAATAAAGTACAAACACGTAAAAATATTTGAAATATTTCATATTTGATCAAGATAGAATAATCATAAAATTAATAGTATCCTTAGAAAAATTTCACCATAATAAATTATAAAACTAAAAGCGTAGCTGATACAACTATAGATATAACATTTTAATACAAAAAAATAAATTGTGTACTAATAATATTAATTTAATATGCAAATAAATAAGTTAATGATTTGTATTATTATATTATTATAAATTAAATTATATTATTAAGTTCATAACACATTTTATTAGTTATTTTTAATTATAAAATTATTACATTTTAAATTATCCACGCAACGCGCGGGCACATATACTAGGTTTGGATCGGTTATTGGTCAAAAGTAAAATCAAACCAATTTAAACATTTTTTAAATTATCATAAACAAATCAAACCAAATATAATATATATTTATTGGTTTGGTTATTATCGATTTCAGTTCGATTTGGTTTGGTTATTCAGTTATTAACCATAAATTAAAAAAATATTCGTTCAAAAGAGGGAAAAATATAATAATTCATTTAAAACGAACAATAGTTAGACCGACTAACTTTACAGAACTTTCGATCACTGAATTAACTAAGAATACAATTTTTTTTTTTTTTACCATTTTGGCCTAGAAGGAAGAGACCGTAGTAACATTCTTAGTTTTTCAAAAACTTTTCATAGACAAGCATATACATGAAACCAATAAGAAAATGATCTCGTCTTGGACATTTTTACTTTCATAAACAAATTATAAATAAATTTTAATAAACATAGTATAAGATATTTAAAATTATCTATAAAATAATATGTTATGCATGTATAATAATAAAATATATGTATGTAATTTATTGATTCGATTCAATTATTTCTTCAGTTTATCAAAATCAAACCAAATTAAATATTATCAATTTTTAAAAATCTAAAATCAAACTAAATTCAAATCCAAATAGAATTAATTTATTCAGTCAATTTGGTTCAATTTTTCTAACTTAAATCGATTTTTATCCAACGCCCTAATTCAAACTATCACTATTATAAATATATATAAATGGAAACAGTTCAGCAAGACTCGTGTCAAAGAAAGAAGATCCGTTACACACAATTCGTGTTGTAAGCTTATTGATCTACTTTGTCCACCTAAATATTTCTTTACACGTGGTCCAACAAAAGCTTTTATGAATATCATCAACGGTCAAGATTTCTCCACATTTCAGTTCATCGTTCAATATGGCACCAACTATACTTTTTTTTAAATGTCTGCCCGGGTCAATGACGGGCAGTTGCCCGCAAGTAGGCCGCCTCTCCCCTCTTCTTATATTTATTTATATATATGGCTTCTTCTCTCCATCTTACTCCTTACATTTCTTATACTGCTTGTTTCGTCTTATTGTTTCCTTGAATTAATCAGTTGTTGATGAATTCGGTAAAGTTTTAGCGATTGGTTGATCAAACACACAAGAAGAATAGTGAGTGTTATACGATTTTCTTTTTAATTGCGGAATGTCTTTTGGTGAGACTAAAACTGTAACTCCAACTGAACCGAGTACGGAAGCTGCAAGAAGGAGACGCATGGAAATTCATCAGTTTCGATTTGTTGCCAGCGATATGGCGGTGGCTCCACCGACTAGTATGGAGAATGGAGGAAGGAAGAGACAGAAATTGGAGAAAACTGTGTCGGTAAAAAGCTATGATAGTAAAGAGAAGAAGCGATTCAAGTTGGAAAGAATTGTTTCCCTGCCACTATCGCTGCCGTGCACAAGTGAAATTGAGATGGGTGAAAAGAAGGTAGCAGAGAATAAAGAAACCGAAACGAACGCTTTGGATTTGACGGAATCTGCTTCTATATCGTTGAATATTGAACGCCAGGGAGTATCCGACTGTCCAAAATTCGGGATGACATCTGTATGTGGAAGGAGAAGAGATATGGAAGATACGGTGTCGATCTATCCGTCGTTTCTTCAGGATAAACATGAAAAGTCCAGCAACTTACATTTCTTCGGTCTCTACGACGGCCACGGCTGCTCTCATGTAATTAATCTTTAACATCAACCTGCTATGCGTCTCTTTTATAAATGCAATTTTCCCCTTTTTGCTAAAATTTTGTTATTTCTGTAGGCGGCGATGAAATGTAAAGATAGAATGCATGACATAGTGAAGAACGAGGTTGAGAGCGCAGGGGAAGCTACATGGAAAGAGATGATGAGTCAGAGCTTCTCAAAAATGGACAAAGAAGTCGTTGAATATTCGAAAGGAGCTGGAGGCACACAGACTGTGGATTGTAGATGCGAACTTCAGACGCCGCAGTGCGATGCTGTTGGATCCACTGCTGTTGTGGCCGTCCTAACTCCAAACAAAATCGTCGTGTCCAACTGCGGTGATTCTCGCGCTGTGCTCTGCAGAAACGGTGTCCCAATTCCTCTGTCCACTGACCACAAGGTGTGTGCTAAATTAATTCCTAACATTCTGTTTCTGTTGCTGGAGAGTGGTAAAAACAGTATTTCTAAATTAGTGTTTTGTTCCTGTTTGTAGCCTGATCGACCCGATGAACTCAATCGGATTGAAGAAGCTGGCGGTCGTGTAATCTATTGGGATGGTGCAAGAGTTCTTGGAGTCTTGGCTATGTCTCGAGCAATCGGTAAGCATATCAGTAGTTAAATGGTCAATGAGGATAATTTAACTAGTTTCAACTGATACCTGGTTTGCCTTAAACTTATATTATGTTTGGAACATTTTTCAGGTGACAGTTACTTAAAACCATATGTTACATCCGAACCGGAGGTGACCATAACGGAGAGAACAGTAGAAGATGAGTGTTTGATATTAGCGAGCGACGGGCTATGGGATGTTGTCTCAAACGAGACAGCATGTGGTGTAGCTCGCATGTGCTTGCGATCTGGGAAGAACTCCGACCAGGCTTGCACTGATGCGTCAATCCTCTTGACAAGGCTGGCTTTGGCTCGGCACAGTTCGGATAATGTTAGCGTTGTCGTCGTTGATTTGAAAAGGGGTCTATAAGGGATTGATTTAATTATAAGTTTTGCATGTACTTGTACTTGTGTTTTTCAGTATAGGCAAGATTTTCCACGGTTGGTTCCTGGGATGCAACTCTCCGAAGGGAGGGAACTGCTTGAGCTGGAGAGAGTCTGTTTTGTATATTACTAATAAGTAGGTGTTCTGGACATCGGAAACAGATCGCCCTACTTTGGTTTTTGCAGGCTTTGTTTTCTGCTCAATTGGATTGTTTTTACTGTGTTAAAAGTTTTTGCATATTTATTGGAGAAGAAACTTCTAAACGTAGGGGTACAGAATCTAATAGAAAATTGGATTAAATTGCAAATCAAGTTAAATTGAGAAAAAAATTTGATTAGTGGTTGGTTTGATTTAGTTTGGTATTGGAAAAAAAAAACTCGATTATATTTGGATTGGTTTGAATTTAACTAAAAAAAATCAACTCGAGATCAAATCAATTAGAGTATATTTTTATACATAAAAATATTTATTTTGATATAATTTTTAAATATTTCTTATACTTTTTCATAATTTTTATCTTTTAATATATTATTTCAAATTTGAAATTTAGAATTTTGAATGGTTTCATAAAGATTATAGTCCACATATATTTGGTAATTATAATAAAGCTTAAATCAAAATCAAATTAATATTAATGCAAAAAGAAAATCAATTCAACACTAAAAATGACAATAATATTGAATATTTGTTTTTTGATTTTTACATTGGTTTAGACAATTCAAATATATAATCTAATTTTAATTTCCTTTAATATTTTGTCATGTAACTAGTACTTATTAAATTTATTTTAGCATGATTTAGTACTTTTATATTATGATTATTTTTATTATGACTTTGTTAATTTGCAATATTTGTTTTACGTGATTTCATTATTATTATTTTTTTGTTGGATATTTTAGTGTCATTACTCATATCATATTTTGTGTTATTTTCTTAAGAAACACCTTAGATAGTTGTATTTTGGTAGGGACTAAAGAAATATTTGAACTACAAACAAATTATATGTTTGTATGAATACTTTATCGAAAAAATCCAAAAAAACCCGAGGTTGAAAAATTTGAGTTTTATTGGTTTGGTTTGATTTATAGATTTAAAAATTCTACACAAATGATTTGATTTGATTTTTGAAAAACCTGAACCAGCCCGAGCATGTACACCCCTACTTCTACGAATTAATTATAAGTGCATTTGTTTAAATAGTTCTGATCTATTCTTTGAATACTTGGTAAGTAAAAATGTGGTATCCTCTTTGATTTAAGTAAACATAATATATGGATATATGTTAGTATCGGAGGAGGGGAACGAAAGTTGCATTCAATTACAGTTCTTTCATTATATGAACTAACCTGAAAAAGGGAAAAAATGCATAACCATCTCATGATTAATTTTTAATTTAAACCAACACTGAAACTTTCCCGAACAAACAATATTATTACTAATGCATCATATAAATGGACAGATTCAGGTAGTTGCAGTAGCAACATGAAACCACCAAATACATAGTTCTTAGTCTTACTTGATCTTACCCAGAATTTTCCATTCTGAAATTATTGGAGTAGTTGTTTTTATTATGATTTACAAAATTTATGCATAAGAAGTCTAATAAGAATGGGCACACAAATAAGAGAGAGAGCATTGTCGAGAGAAGGCCAAAAATAGACCATTCCAACATTTGTGAAGAAGTCTTTCTTAAGTAAAGAATAAAATGAGAAAAATTAAACCAACGCTCATACATTCTGAAAAGCAGTAATGAACATTCCAAGGTTTGTGATTTTGCAACATTAGAAGCAGTGGCTCTTGGTAATAACACATAAACAAGCACTTGATTACCAAAGAAAGTGATTCCAGATACTCTTTAAACTATTACCGTAAATCTTCAAAGCTCTTGAAAGCACAATAAACAACATGAAGTTGTTTGAACACGTACAGCGGGCAAATTATTGGAAGTAAGAATAACTGATTCTAACTAAGTCCATTTTATTGTCTTGTGAACAATAGTAAGAACATTACGCAACCAAAATTTCAAAGGCGAAAGAATGTATTATCTCAAGTTCATTAGGATAGAAAAGAAACAACTACATGACACTAATAAAGCAAGTGTTGATCAAAATCTTAAAACATCAGAGTTTTCTTAAGAAAATATGTTCTAGTTTGTTCTGGGAGCAGCCCACTCCACGCGAAGAATTAGATTGTCATATCCATACCCATTAAGCTTGTCGATGGCCCTCTGAGCATCCTCCTTGTTTACAAAATTAATAAATCCAAAACCTCTGCTGTCACCAGTCTTCTGGTCTATAGCTACATAGACCCGACTTACTGGACCAAAAGGCCTGAAAAGCTCAAGCAAGTCAGGTTCTCTAGTGTCTTCTGAGAGATTAGTGACACGAACCGAGTTCTCTTCATTTCTACGTCTCATTTCTGTTCCAGCAGGTCTCTCAGCACCTGCTCGCAAGCTTGGTGGAACATAAGCTCCCTTCACAGCCCCACCAGGCATATTTGCTTCTGCCACTGGGGGTTTGTCAACAAAACCTTCAGCTGGTTGAGCAAGATCCTTGAAAGGGCACTTAGATGTCCAGTGATCACCCTTCTTGCCACAAGTTCTGCACACCATTAGAACAGCACCTCCTTTAACAAGCTGAGCCATTGAGTCTCCTACTGCTTTGGAGTCTTCAGCTTTAGAACCTGTAGGCAGCACAGCAATTTATAGTAGTTTAGCACATTCTTTGATTCGTTGAAGAGCAACACTATATTTGCAAGACAACACAAAAACATTCTTACGCATATGTACCTAAACTAACTGTAATAATTCAGTCATTTATCTTCTTTATTTTGTCCGTTCCATAATAGAAGGGAAACACAAAGTGAACCTTGTTTAGGCAGAGAAACCAACAATTGGTTTGGTTCAGCTGATTTAGCTTGTACGTAAAACTAACAAGAACAGTGCTATCCACATTTTCTCCGTTAGGAGAAATGAAGGCCTGTCAACATATTGAAAGTCAGTACTGTTGAAAGATTTTAACAACTTCAAAAAGTTTTTTGTGCAAGTCTAAATTCAAATCTGTCTCATTGTCTCAGGATGACCTGTTTATTTTGGAGGATGGAGCTTTAAGTCCATAGAACTTTCTTGCTCTTCATGTTGTAACCCCCCACTAAACAGACTACCATGAGACAATTAGTTCTTATTCCATTTGATGGCAAGTGAGTAGTCCCTAGGGCTTTGGTCTATTGGTGAGAGTGCAGCTTGTGTTATGTGATTAGGTGCAGGTCACAGGTTCAATCCAGCTACAAAAAAAAGTATGGTATTAAAGTGGATAAGAGTAGAGAGGCAGGCTCACCATTCATTGAGTTTCAAGACATGTGTTGTTTGCTCTTGAAGATTTATCGGTTATCATATACATATATATCGAGCAAATTGTCTTCTAAAAAGAAGAGCAAAACAACCAATTTATATTGTGAAAATTAAGATCAACATTTGACAGAACAGCAGTCTGTGCTGTTCAACATGCTAAAGGTAGAGGGTCAAATGAAGTGATTTATAGAATGGTGATAGCAGCAACACTCTTCTTCTTGTGGAGAGAAAGGGTTGTGCTGTTCAACATGCTAAAGGTAGAGGCTCAAATGAAGTGATTTATAAAATGATTATAACAGCAACAGTCTACTTCTTGTGGAGAGAAAGGAATCTTAGAATTTTTCAAAAGCCAGAACCTGGCTGATCATGCAAGTAATTCAAGAAGTACACATTATTGCAAGGAAAGTAGCCAAACTCACTAGTTGGTTGGAAAGCCACAAGTTCTATCCAGTTTGAAATCTTCCTACTACTGATAGCCGTTAAATTGGTTTAGTTTATGCTTTAATGTCTCGTTACTAGAAGGTTGTTGGGGCATGATGTCCAACAATGCTCCTATTTGTACTGATGCACACATTTATATACTTTGGTAATGAAATCAATTTAATTAGTTACCAAAAAACGTTTGACAGAACAGATTGTCATGTCACAGAAGACTATAAAACTAAGAATATTTCATTTGAGAAAGTGGTTGACATGAGCTCCACGCAGTACAGCAAAAATTTCAAGTTACTACAGGTACAAAAACTTAACTGGATAAACTACGAGAATTACCAATGGTGCAGCCATGTGCTTCAACGTTTAGAAAATAAGTGATGTGCTTAATGGCTATGTAATGCACATAAAAAGATTGTATGATAGAAGTGCAACTTGAAACCTTTAAATGTGAGAACTAACAAATTCACACTTCACATTTATATTAAGTTGTGACGTTTAACTCATGAATACTATTAGCTTCATCTAATGTATTCATAATTCGATTTCTGGATGGTCATGACTCAACTAATAATCATTATCTCACAATTAAGTCACTTTATTAATTGAAAAGAATTGGAATTTAAAAGAAAGATAATGTTTATGAGATGATAACTCGATCATCCGAGAAATCAATTGTATGCATACATAAACTCTAACAAGCTAGCAAAGGAAAAACATTTGGATTATGCAATAATATTACTTATTTTACATCTTGGATGCCAAACCAAAATATCCACAATTGCACATATATATGTAAATGTAATGCGAAATGTGACCTGGGGCTCTGGGTCTTTCAAGCAAGATCTCTTCAGTAGAAACCATGGTGAGTCTACTTCCAACATCCTCATGAACAGCGTCACCGAATTTAGGCCAAGTCCGACGTTCAATAGCCCGTTTGCTGAGACGAGTGTTAGCAAGCTTTCGAACGCGGGTGGTTGTAGTGATCTTAACCTTATTTCCATCGTCATTGAATTTGTACTCTATGATTTTTTTAATTCCATGTTCATCAGGTCCAATTATCTGTTTTGGTGGAAGAAGGAAATCGAGGTCCTCAGCGTCATCTTCCTCTAGCTCCCCCCATCTGATCTTGCTACCTGAATTACCGCCTCCATTAGAAACCATGCTTATTCACTTTCACAACAATTATATTCTTGTTTGTTCCTTACAA